CGTAATACGCAAGAATGTGTAAAATACTCAAAGTATTCTCTTTACAATATTTAATAGATAAAATAATGTTCTATCTAGACTTTATCTTTTAGTTATCTTTCTAGAAATGTGAAACTGCATATAACACATAGTCTAGTTGTAAATTACTCATTTGCGTGATCATTATTAGAAGATATTGAGATTTTTGTAATATGTCCACTTTGTATATCCAAACTATAATCATCGATATTTCAAACATTTCCAATATTGTCCAATGGATTGCATGCATATATTGATACAATTTAATTATGCAAATTTTATCTCAACGTCGGTCTGATCTAGCATATATTTATTATAATTGTATGTAATATAATAAGTATTTATTATAATATTATTATAATATTTACTATAATTGTATGTAATATAATAAGTATTCAAAAAATGTCAGACATCTTACTCTCGTGCAAGATCAAAAATGAAAGAAATTTCAATTTCCAATGAAATTAAAAAGATTCGGGCAAGATTCTTATTTGAAATTATTAAAATTAATGTTATTAAAAATTTTAAATTTGGGATGTGTTAACTGAAAGTGGCTGATTATGGAAACCTCTGGTCAGTTGATGATGAACAGGGAAATCTGACAAGATTTATATCCGGATCATTGTTGTAATCTTTTTGTGTACCAGAAGATAATCACACAGAGACGCGCTCTAGGAAAAATCCACGTGTGATCGCTTCGAAGCAATACATTACACCAGGGACATCGGTTGCACGCAGTGTAGTCTCTTACATAAGTCAAAGCAAAGGTTAGACAAAGAAGCACAGAGAGCATTGCCGACTGATACAGTTGACACGTAACACGGTGTGTTTTCATTTGGACACCGGTTTTCATCAGCAAACGAAACACCGAATCGAGTGTAGAGTCTTTTTCCAAATCTCCACGAACCACCAGCAGGTACAATTAGTTAACGATTAACGTTCGACAGACTGACGACGCTGTTTTGCGTCATCGGGACGCAAACAGAAAGTTTAAGCTGCATCACTTACCAACTTGGAAGATACTTTGACTTCTCAGACAAGCGACTCTCGAATCTGGCAGTGTTCTTTTTGAATTCTAGATCCACGGAGGTGCACTCACTGCGGGTCCAACCGAGCCAGAAGAAACTGTGAACGACGTCAACGAGGCCGTCCAGTCCAAATTAATGAAAAGGTTCACGCCGGTTCCCTCGAACACGTTGGAAACGCGAGAACAAGCGAGAGACGGTATCGAAACGCGAGGACATTTAACAGGCTAAACCATCCACGTCCGCAATGTATACGTATTGTATACGTATGTATACGAGCTATGTAGACGAAACGAAGACGCCGTAAAACACGCGAAATCACGTCTCAGTTCACAAAGCACAAGCGACGATGCAATCGGAGCAGCGGTCTTCGCCACTGATGGAAGACGAGTCCATAAACGTTGCCGTTTCACCAAAACGTTCACGAGATTCTCGGCGAGACGAAACGGAACGACAGAGAAGTGAGGTTACGTAGACGCAAGCTCGATGACACTGAGCTTGCACGAGCTACTCAGCCTCTGATAGTCGATGACTCTTTTACAGCCGGGAATTTCTCCTCCTTTTCCTCCTGCGTGTCCCTATCGCCTTTCGGATCGTGACAATGGACTAGAAGCTGCAGCGGCACGCTGCACACCCAGGACGCACCACGCAAGTTCCAGCTGACGTCCTGGCGACGAATCGAAGAAGTGGGGAGGAATATGAGGCAGCCGAGCGTGGTGGACAGCCCTCATGGATTTAGATCGGTCCTCCTCGCTCCGAGGCCCGTCACGTTTCACGTTTCTCCCGATATCGGCGATTCATTCGACAGTAACAGTCTGTCTGCAGCGACAGCAGCTCTCAGAACATTTCGTTCCGCCGGGCATTCTTTAATTTTTGAGGATGAGACGGAGGAACGTTTCGCGAGGTTCTGACGGAGAGCAGGGCGGGATTAGGGATTATCTGGTTATCTTTCATAACCCCTTAACTGTTATTGGCGATGTAAAGTTAATGTGTGAAAGATTAAAGGTAAAAAAAAAAGGTAACTCGTTATTTTATCTGTCTGTATTGTCAGTACTACAGAGAATGTGAGATGTGAAATACTGTGTGAAGGAGAAACGTTGATCCGTGTACGTACAGTGTCTTGCCTCCGAACACCTCGAAAGCCAAGATAAACGAACGAACTTGGATTGCTCGAAGAAGAAAATGAAAGAACTGTACACTGTATTGCTCAACGAAACTTTATTCCGACAGAAGAACCAATTGCACAATTTATTCGACGACGGTTTCTTCCGTCCATAAAATGGAAATAGAAAACACGGTCGCGAAACCAGACTGCCGTTAAGCCGCCTAGAAATGCGTCCCGTTGTCCCGACAACGCACGTGTACTCGCCCAGAGAGGTACACGAGCAGCTCGATCGTCGACGACGAACTCGCTGTGGCTCCGCGAACGAACGCCGCGGTATCAGCTGGTGGTAGAGGGAATCAGAACGACGAACAGGAAGGGGGAATCACAAAGGCAGTGAAAGAGGGGACTATAGGCTTTGACGAGAGTCCGAGCAAGAGGAAACGACCAGCAGTCGACCAACCGCGCGATACTGAATGAACTCGTCTCTAACCCCGACACGTCCTACCTCGTTCCCGAGCCACGAGCCATCCTAGTTTACCACCCCTTCGCCTCTTCCTCCGTTTAGTAACGTATCGTCGTGAGAGAGAAAGAGAGATTTTTGGACGTCAACCGATGATCAAATCGTCGTAGCAGCCAGGACTTGAGAAAATTTAGACGCGACGGCGATTTAAGTTGTAACATTTGGAAATTACCTTTCAAAATACTTGGAACACTCTATACACTTGACTCTGTCTGTGAATCTGGAATTCTTGATTTCTCAGCAAGATGATTAATTGACAAGGAGAAGCTTGACTTTAGATTCTAAATAGATCCCCGTGCTCTGTAAATAATCCAACTTTGCTTCTATGAAACCATTCTCCAAGTAATTCAGTTCCCTCGAAGCTTTAGCTCTCTTTGCAAGACGATTACAAATTAACCGCCGCCGCCCTCTTACTCTTTCCTTCCCTCGTCTCTTCGCCATTGATCTGAATCCCTGTGTGCGAAGCAGAAACAACAGAATCTTTTTTTCTTTCTCTGTTTCTTAAAAAAAAAAAAGGTACAGGAAGTATCGTGGGACAATCGAAAGCTGGTATCAACGAGCCAGTCGTTTCGTTGGGGATTAGAGGGGTTAGAGGAGCGATTACCTTACGATCATCGAGATCGTAAGACTTCGATAAAGGGATATCAGTCGGCGGGTTACGCAAAACAGAAGTCGAGAGACTTCGAGGGAAATGTAAAGCGCGTCGGGGGGCGGTTGGCGACGCCGCGTTTCACGCGCATGCCAGCCCCGCTCGCGATGACGTCAGGGCCGAGGAAAAATCAATTCACCCCTGTACAGTGCGGCAGGACAGGGACGTTGTTATATCTAACGACCACGGTCACCGTCATTGAATTAGCCGAATTAATTGTAGTTCGCCCTAATCGATCGCCCTTGGGCCAATTTGCAGTTTTAGAATTCTGCCGATCGTTTGATATTCTGGAGATCTTTCTCGGAATTCGACCGAATGCCGAATGTTTCCCTGGAATCAGTTCTCCTCGACAGAAGGAGAGGAAGAAAGAGAGGATGTAGGGAGACACGCAGTTGGACAATGGAGCGAGCTTCTTCGGCGATTTATCTCTAAATGGACAGAGCTGGAGAATTTTAATACAGGAGAGAGTGGCTGAGGTTGCTTGAACTGGAAAACGGAGAGAAAGAAGAAGGGAGACCTAGTTGTCACGTGACACGGTGCGACGCGGCGAAAAGTCTCGCGAGAAACTTGTACGAAAGATTGGAGTAGTATTCCACTTCGTTTACATTTTCATTGAAATGATACTGAAAATTTGAGAGCTACGTAACACAATGATAAAAAAACGATATGATTGACTATATATTTGAGGACCGTGGCTGCATATACTCAAGATTATGATGTTTGAGTTTCTTTGAAATACTTGAACATCTGTCTGCAGTACTACGTCTTAAGTTGAATCTCTTAAACAAACTGAGATTAGAAGGACAATAAGTACTAGTAAAGTCCTCGCATCGTGAAACGTTTCGTTACGCAATCCATTCAAACGGCACTATTTAATCGATTAATTAATTGTCCGTTCCAGCTCGTTAAGGCCGCACATGCCCGTATAATTGGAATAATAATGCTTATGTAATGCAAGACGCCACTTCGAAAATTAGTAACGCTGATCGTTTTCTCGCAAACGCAAGAATGGATCCCGGATTGCGCAACATGCAAATTGACAAACTTATTTCAACGAGTTTTATCAATCATGGATTACTTTAGTCTGACTGAATTGGCGATGCTTGGTAATTGAAATGAAACGGTGACGTCGAGTCCATCTCAATAACCAATGAACCTTTGAATTATCGTGTTTAGTGTTAATATTTAATTCAAGTTATATTTGATGAAACTTGAAAAGTCAGAGTTAGATTTAAAGCACAGAGTTCATTGGAAGACTTCAAAAAAGCCAGGCTGATATACACATAGAATACACGTGTAGTATTTTTTTACATACTTTTATATTTTGACATGTTAGTTTAGTGTTAATATTTAATTTAAAATAATTCAAGAATTATTTCATGAAACTTAAAAAGGCAGAGTTAGATTTAAAGCACAGAGTTCATTGAAAGACTTCAAAAAAGCTAAGCTGATATACACATGAAATACACTTCTATATCTTGATATATCTTCAAGAAGATATTTTCTAATTTTTCCTTTAGTTTCTCCGTGCCAGAAAAAATACACTGAACTAAGCTAAAATACACGTAGAATATTTTTTCAGATCTTTCTATTTTGATATTTCAAAGAAGATATCTTCTACTTTCTGTTTTAGAGATCACGTTTCTAAGATCTCCTATATTCTCTATATTCGAAATAACTCACCTGTTATCCGTGCTTGTTGACTGATTCTTCACCGTCGATCCCAGGAAACCAAACTGTTCTCCGCGTTCGGTAAACGACGCTACACCTTCACATGATAATTGATAACGGCTGTTTTTCTGTCGCGTCGCAGAACGGCACGCTCGTTCGTGGCTCAGCTACGAGCAAACAATCCGCAAGATTGCTACCGAAAGGGATTTCTGCATTGCTGTTGTCCCGTGCCTCGATGCTGGGCCACCATTAGCTCATCAAGTTGGTTAAACGAACACGAAAGAAGGCACAGACGCCGAACGAGGCGGGCTTAAGTGTCTGGAGCTGTGTCGTGCAATTGTTAAGTAACAGTTTAAATCGTGTATGGGCTGATGAGCGCAACGACTTGGTGCACGTTGCAACGGATTAATATCTGAATATCTGTCGTCGTGTCAGATCGGCAGTATGTTCGTTCCAAGCGATTCAATTTAAATTATTAATGTATATTGTTCCTAATTAAATTCCTCGAATCTTTCTGTATCGGTGACGCGTAATACTTTTTCTTCTTCTTTTTTGGCAAATATTGGACACGGTAAATTTGAAATGTGTGTCAGTAGTGTCGTCAGTTTTTGTACAATCTCCTCGAGAAATTGCATCGGATTCTCTGGTGCGCATCAAGTAGTTGCGTTTCGCTTGGCAATCTCTTGTCTGCATTGGGCTATCATCCAATATCGTTGCAACAATGTTACTGCCATTCGCAATAATACGCGCCACTCAGTAATTGGCAATTTGAAAAAAAAGAAGATTGTAATTGAACTTCTACTTTGTATCTCTGTTGTTGGAATTGCATCTTTAAAATACATCAGAAACGACTTTGTTCTCCTGAATTGAAATCTAGGATGAATTTTTTAGGAAGGAATGAAGCACCAACAATAAATACTTAAAGTAAAAAAAGAAAAAGTTAGTTTACTTATCAACACCTCACAAAAATTACAAAATAATGAAACAACGCATGATTAAATCATACGATTAAAAAATCAATGTTAGTCTCTATTTGAACAAGAGTATATCCACTGGAACGTGTTCCGGAGTTCGGAAACGTTCCGTGGCGCTATCTAAGTTGGGACTCGTGAAACGTTTCTCATAAAATTACAAGTTTCAAATTACTCCCGAGTACGAGTGTTGAAAACAGCATGAAATTCTATTAAAAGTAAAATACAAACAAACTAATGTAATTTTATCGATTCAAAAGGTCGATGTTTAATTGTAGTCCATCTAATTTCGTTTCCGGAGGTCTAGCTTTTTCCTCGTAAACGTTAAACGTATAATCTTAAATACAACATTTTACAAAAATAAAACACAAACTAACAGGTAATTTTATAGAAAGAATTTCTTCGAATTTTCAGGAGGTCTCAATCGATGTTTAATTGTCTAAAAGATCCCTGTAATCCGTCCAGTTCCGCCAGAAGTTTCGTCTTAGCTTCCGGGAGTCGGGCTTTCTCGTTTGTCCGGCTGAGCTTCTCCTCTCGCAAGAACCAATCCCTGTTCTTTTCGATTTTCTTCTTCCACGCGTCTAAAAGTGTTATTCGATTAAAAAAAAAAAAAAAAACAGAAAAAAAAACGAAACGATTGTAATTAAAACAAAGAAATAAAGAAAGAATTGAAAATTTCCAGGAACCATTCAATTCATCGAGAGTGCCAGCTTTCCCACCCCACTCGTTTGGGAGTATATCTTTGTCCATGTAGGTGTGCAGCTCCTCGCCGCCGCCAGTGTGAATGCAAAACTTAAACGAAGAATTCGCACTTGCATTAATATTACGAAACGAAATTTCCAACCTGTGGTATTTCAATTAGCGTTTCACGATTGGCTACCTTCTGAACGAGTCGATCCTTTAGCAGAGGATAGAATATATTGAGGATACTCTCGATAAAGGCAGGCGCGTGAAGGAAGTGGACTCTGTGCAATCTCATTGGCATGCTGTCTTGCACCGCCAGCATCGACTTGCGGACAATACTCTGCGTCGGGCTGCATTTTGTGAAATGTACCACGCTGAATCCCTGAGGTACAGAAGTTTGATATAAATAAAATGAAATGTATGATATTGATTTGATCCTTTCGACCTTAGACTTTTTGATAACTCCCAGAGGTTTATATTAATAATATTATATTATATATTAATAATATTAATTATATTAAGATCAGATTTTTATAAATTCAAATGGCAATAGCAAATGAGATCAACTGTTAATTTCGTTTGTATATAATTTCGAAATTTGGTATTGTTGAAATAACATCTGGAAGATTGTGCACAAAGTAAGGGACGAATGAGCATTAAATTAAATATTTGTTACAATATTATGTTACACAGGAGTACATAACATGTACAAGCAGGTTCATGAAAAAATAAGAAAAAAAAAAATATTCCAATGTACCCTGTGCTAAGAAATACGTACACTGTATTTAAATCTAGCTAACAGCTCGGATTCTTCCATTTTTTTAATAATTTGCTGATAATTATAATGGATGTATACGTCTGGTGTTGTATTAGGTTGTACCCATAAGTAATATCATTTTTTGATACTGTACAAAATTTTATTTTATTTTATTTTATTACTGTGCAAAATTTTATTTAATTTAAGAGTTAATAAAGTTTCAATCTATATATAACAATAAGCACAGTAAATATATTTAACTGGAATACAGATTATGTTATAATAAGTCAAATTATTATAAGTCACTAGATGGCAATGTTTGTTAAATTTGAAAAAAAAAAACGACATCACTTATGGGTGCTCTTAACGTATGATATTGATGATAAATACCTCGAGGTCGATGACCATGATATTTGACAAACACTGTTCTTCCATCAGACGAGTATCGAGAACCATGAGAATCCTTCTCGAGATGGCTTGAATGGAAAACTTCTCTATCCCGGTGTTTCTTAGCCGCAAAATGGTCACGCGATGTCCTTCGTCAGTTAGCGATGGCAAAACGAAATAATGGCTAACGATAGTTTAGAAATAATATTGAAAAAAATTCGATTAGTTAGAAGTTATTGGAAGATTAAGTGATTGAATAGTTACATCGTTTCGCAGCATTCTTGGATTTCACGTGCGAGGGGGTCTCGAACCGCGAAGAATTCCGGGATCGCGGTACGCACGCTGAAATATCTCTCTAGAATCATCTTGCATCGCTCTATGCTATTCTTGCAACCAAATAGGAATCTTTCGATCCTCGCGTCGTCTGCGATGAAGTTATTCTCAAGTTGAAATTGTTCGAATTCAAATAAAAAAAGGAAACAAAATATAAAAATATAAAATTTCGTTCGATACGTAAATAACGCGGGGCGTTAAATTAAACTGTTCAGAATCTGTTATATTTCTATATTTCTGTATTATCTTTTACTGTTTGAAGCCCATTTTTTTCTCACTTTGTTCAGTTAATTAAAATATAACATAATATATTCTCTTTACCTTTTCTAATAATATAATATACTCTCTTTTATTCGAGTAATTCAAATAATTAATATAATATACCCTTTTATTTTATTTAGTTCATTAAAATATAATATAATATACTTTAATTCAAATTAATTAATTCAAATAATTAATATAATTCCTATATAATTGCTAATATAATTAATATAAGTTAGCCTTTTACTTTATTCAGTTCATTAAACTATAGTATACTTTCTTCACTTTTTCTAAGAATATAATATACTCCCTTTTTTTCAATTCATTCAGATAATTAATATAATATACTAATATTCAATTAATTAAAATATAATATAATATACTTTCTTCACCTTTTCTAACAATATAATATACTCTCTTTTTTTCAATTAATTCAGATAATTAATACAATATACCCTCTCACTTTATTCAATTAGTTAAAATATAATATAATATACTCTCTTCACCTTTTCTAATAATATAATATACTCTCTTTTATTCAATTAATTCAGATAATTGATATAATATACCCTCTCACTTCATTCAATTAATTGAAACATAATATAACATTGTCTCTCACTTTATCCAATCCATTAAAATATAATATACCTATGTGATTAGGCAGATGAGGCTGTTTCGACAGCCACTCGCGAATGGCGAGCACGTCGCGCTTCCTCACTACCGGATCCGTCGGGACCGCCTCGTTCATCCGCTTCAGCTGTTCTGCAGTAGGTGGTAGCAACGTCATCGCAACGCGCTGCAACGCAACAGTGATTTCTTTCATTCGTCGAGATCTCGACCCTTGGACGCATTATACTCTCGAACGTCGAATAACGCATTGAAACGCAGTTACGTATATGAATTTCACGGAATATTATCTGTCGATCTCCGCGGAGGAAACGGTTTATCGGCAGGAACAACTGCGTTGCTAATCGATATTGACACTCGTCGCGCTCTTTCGACAGTAAAGCGCGTACTTGCGAAACAATTGTGTAGAACTCACGTAACCGTGTGTTTCTTGGCCTTCCTTTGTGTTCCTTGAAAAATTGAAATCTCGTATTTTTGTCGAAGACTATAGAGTAGCGTTTGACAGGCTTTTAATTATTATAACGATGCCGGTACGTTATAGTGGAACTAAGAATCCTCACGGATTTTCTCGTTAATGGATCTGGCCCTCGACTGAGACATTCAATTAGCGTAATCGTGTCGCAATGATTGAAAAATGAATGACTGTGTCGATTCGAGAGGATGTTGCTCGCAAACAGTACAGAGTTCTGGGATTTTTTTTTTTTAATTCTACATTCTCATTAAATTTTGAATGTATCAGGTCTATCGTATATTATATACTAACTAAAAATTGTAAGATTTTCATTTCCTTCTGTCTAAATATTATTTTAAGTGATTCTAAAATCTTTCTAGTACTTTAACACCAGAAATTAACAACCGGTTTTTAATAAGATAATAAGGTATTCTAATAAGATAATAAGATATTCTAATAAGACATTCTAATACATAATAAAATATTCATATGTAATTCATAATTAAAATAATAACACATGATGTATAATTTTATAGTTATTTATGTATCATCGTGTAACTGCATCATTTGCATAATTTTATGATATTTGTATATGTTGTGATTCAAATGATAATAATCAAAATAACTGGATTTATACAAATCAATACTAACTTTGACAAAAAAATCTTTTATCTTTTAAATATCGGTTTTAAGCAATTTTCAGAAGAAAATGCAAAATCTGTTATATATATTGGTTTGATCGTTCTAACGTTTTGTATTAATGAATGACAAGAAAATCTTGAACGAGGATTAAACAATTTTACAAACTTTCTCTTTTTATCTTCACTTTATCTTTCTTTAAACCGTTAAAATCAAAGGAAAACATTTTTAATATTTTCAAAATGCCGTTATCTCTTTATCTCTATATGTGTTTTGCTATTACGAACATCGAAATCAAGACGTGAGAAACAGAAATTAAAAAACAGGGCCAAGCACACGCGTGTTTCGACTACGAAATTTGTAAGTGAGAAACCTCGTCAGAAACTATCGAACCTCGGAGACGGAACGATCGTTTGGAGGAAAAAAAAAAAAGAAAAGAGCAAGAGAGAAAAAAAGAAATTCGACGTGATTGGAATTAGAATCGGTGAGTTGCATCATCGCCGAATCTTGGGTGTAGCCATTTCTTTCTTTTTTTTCTTTTCGTAACTCGATCGGAGAAAGCTTCGCGTCGTCGAAGATCGCATTGAACGTGAGCGAAATTGATTAAATCGGCGCGAATATCGGCCGAAATACTCGTAAATCAGTCGAGGTGAAAGCGCGAACGATGCGTAAACAATAGAAAGAAGGGAATCGAAGGTGCAGATTTCGATCGACAAATCGAAGCGTTTTATTTATCTTCTCTGAAGTGTTTTCCTCCGGTGTGTCTCGTTTCTACTTTTCTCTTTCATTTCTCCTCGCTCAATTTTCATTTTACAGCTCGTGACTCTTTATCCATTCGTACTCCGTCTCTTTTATATTTTTTTGTTTCTCGTCGTTCACTTTTAAGCAAATGATATTCACTGGATGTTGAAACTAATATTTCTACGCGTTACGTTCGTACGTATGTTTTATTAAAATTTTAGTTACGCAGTTTAGAGTTGCGTTTTTTAAATCTCTGCGTTGTTCTTTTTCATTTAAATGCTGTTTCTGCGTCCGTTCCGTACATCCTCGTTTATTGATATTGTAAATAAGTTCTCGGCGAAGGATTCCTTTCGTCCGTCGAATTCGTTTCTGGTTCTGTTGGTTCCGATCCAAAATTCCATTTCGAGTGGATAGAAGAGGTGACAGAAAAGTGATTTCGCACCCGCGATTACATAATACGTTCTCTGGAGCTAATCGATTTTTACTGAATCGGCAAAAATATATTCTATGTGTCTTTTCGTAAAATATCAAAATATTTAATAAAAAATATTCAAATATTCGTATCAAAATATTCTACATATCAATCATTATAATTCAAATGATAATCAGACTGCCAATTTTCAGACATTTTCAAATTTTCCTGAATATCATTGAAGCTAAATAGAAGAAATGGGAGCTGAATAAAAATTTGTTTCTTTTACATGGTGTTATAATTAATAGCGTTTGAATATTTTATATATTTTTGCATATTACGTGCATATTGTATGTATTTTTGTATTTTCAAATTTTTCATCATAAATATATAAAAATCCGCAGTCTAACAATAGCAATTACAATAAATAGCTACGTCTCCGTCAGAATCAACAGAAATCAATATTAATTTTGATTAAATTTTTTAAGCAGTTGTAGAAAAAGAAAATCTATTTTTAACTTGGTTATTCTAATGTTAATTAATGATTAATTTAGATCAATAATAATTAAGTTAAATCAGTAGTTAGAGTGGAGAATATAAGTTCTGTTGATATCGAAAGTGAATGATTTCTCACTCGAAAAGTATTCAATCAATTCATGTATATATATGTTCTAACTTCTCTAAAAATTAGAAACGATTATTAAAATATATTGCTACATCGATTTCATATTTTTTATCTCATAGCTCTTTGAGTCTGGTCGCTAATATGCTAATATGCTAATATCAAGAAATAAGACGTAAACTAATTGCTAGCGTGTTAATTTGACGAGACAATGTCACATCTTTTTCAGAACAAATCATTAATTTTAATTTTATTTCAAATCACATACAACGTGTAACTAATTGTTCTAACGTTGTTCTTATAGCCATAATTGAAGCACAATTTTTTTTTATCTTGATGAATTATTATTTTTCTTATAATTTAATTACTCGTCAATAAATTAACAAATAAATATCTATTATCCATGGTAAAATTACAAATGAAAATACAAATACAAATTAAAACCTTACAGATATTAAAAAGTACTTTGTTCACTTTACTTACCAAAATCTCCGCAATGGGATAAAAAGTTTCACGAAGAAATTATCGGGTCAACACGGAATTTTTTGTGGAAAAAAATGTCACAAATGGTGCTTCAATACAAAATCCCAAATTTCTATTAAATTGTGTGTGTAACCCGTGGAAGTCGGAGAGATACTGCAATATCCGTATGAAGAAGAGCCATTCCTCTAGTCTGACCCACGTTGTTCCCCACTATTGTAAATGAAAAACGTGATGGAGCAACACGGCTCAAGAGATTAGACTCTGAATTTTCTCTTTTAAAGTTCAGAGTACACGAATTCCATTGATGCGTGATCGGTTTTCGTGTCTTGAATGGTTAAAAGAACTAATTGAAGAACTTTTACATTTTTCTGGAACTCTGTAAGAGTCTCGTAAGAGTTTCTCTTTTCTTCAAAATACTTCAAACTCTTAAAATTTTATTTAACAGTACTACAATTACTAGGGAAAATAATCATTTTTGGGAATTTAGAATAATTAAATACTACAATTAAACTTTTCTGACTTGTTCCATAGAACATCTTACCGTTAAAATTCTCAAAAATTTACAAAATCTTAATTAAAAATAATTCCGCTGGAATTTTCTAAATATTTTAATTTCAAAAATTTATAAAACTTCACTGTAATAAAAAAGAAAGATCATTCTTGAGAATGTAGAATAATTAAATATTGGTAAAATTCTTTCTGATTTGTTCCTTCAAACTTTATTCAATAACATTACAATTAGAAAAATAATCTTGAAAATTTAGAATGACTCCTTTAATTCTTAAAAAGATTCCTCGAACATATGAAAACCATCGAGTTCGAGATAGAAACGATTATCTGAGCGCCGGAAGTTTGCCGTGTTTCATTGATTCCCCGGTCGCAGGTCTCGCGAACCTTTAAATTTCGACGAAAATGTCACGGACCGAGTGAAACCACCGAGACGACTGACGAAATGTTCGATTGTCTCACTGTATGTAACACCATTTGCATAGCCTGCATCTGGTTCTCTCTGTTTTCAAACTGGTAACAAAACTGTCGCTTAAGTTCTCTAAAATTGAACGTTAACGAGCATCGTGTTATAACTTTCCAAATTTTTGTCAGCCTGAAAGAACTGGATTCCAGCGAGTTTCGCGATCGGAAAGAATCGAGAAAAAAGAAGATTTCGGGAACAAAGATTTGTCAAATTGTTCAGTGTTGTTTGAGCTCCACGGAAATTCTCGTTCGCCATACGTCTCGCCGAATGAACACTGCCTTGAACAATATTGAAGAAAATTGTAAATATCGAGTGTCAATAACAGAGGATCCATCGGACGATTTACAAAACTGAAACCAAATTTATCCAAAGAGGAATGATCAATTTTTCACGTTGTACCAAAAAAAGTGAGCCAAAAGTTTCTTCTCACCTATACTTTTTAATAAAGTATAAGAAGAAACCAATTTTAAATCCAAGTTCTGACGTAATTTTTTCATTTCAGAAGAAATAATCTGTAAAAAAAAAATTTCAAAAAATATATGATAGAAAGATTGCGGATTTTTAATAGGAAGTGATTTTTAGCCCACCATGTATCATATATAAAACTTGGAAGACTCGTTGAAACTAAATATTTTTTCCAAATGGATGACATAGAGATAAACTATGAACGCAGATTATACGCTCGTAATTGTAAATAAAATGTAAACTGAAGATCATTTGTTAGAAATCTGTTAAATTTATTTCTGAAAATTCGATTACATCACTCCTGGTGTGTAGTCAGACACAGGTTGAGGCTCAAATTGCGACTCGATCATGGAGTCTTTCCTTTCCTCGGCTTTTCGTCTACCACCAAGATCCCTCATGGCCATTTTCGTCGCAGCAAGGTCCGTGTCATTGTCTATAATCTGGACGATCTTCTGCATGGTCGAGTATTCCATCACCATCGCCGATTTCGGGTCTCCGTTTGCAGTCTGCGACGCCTCTGACATTCTCGTTCTGTTCTCGAGATCCCAACTTTCCATCATGTCTCTGAAACGTATGAACCAATCGTACATTTCTTTCTTTTCTTGTCGTTTGCGAAATGTGACGATAATGATCTTAGAAATGGCGAGAATTTTCTAATTTTAGCAAAATTTGGTAGATTTGAAGAAAACTCTTCAATCTGGTGAAAAATATTTCTGATGCCCTTCGACCTAACTAAAAGTATCTACAGATAAATAATAATGTATCATATTTTAAATAATATAAAATAAAAAAATATAAATATAATTTTAAAATATTTTAAAATATAAATAACAACCTAACTAAAAGTAGCTACAGATAAATAATAATGTACCATATTTTAAATAATATAAAATAAAAAAATATAAATATAATTTTAAAATATTTTAAAATATAAATAACGACCTAACTAAGAGTATCTACAGATAAATAATAATGTATCATATTTTAAATAATATAAAATAAAAAATACAAATATAATTTCAAAATATTTTAAAATATAAATAACGACCTAGAAGTATCTACAGATAAATAATAATGTATATTTTGAATAATATAAAATAAAAAAATATAAATATAATTTTAAAATATTTTAAAATATAAATAATATAAATATAATTTTTTTAAATAATATAAATTATTTAAGATATAATAGTATTATTATTTATCTTTTAAATACTTTTTTTAGTTATTTAGGTCGAAGAGCATCAGAAATATTTTCAACCGGGTTGGAGAATTTTCTTCAAATCTACCAAACTTTACCAAAATTAGAAAATTAGTCAGATCATGTACAAAATAAATTTTATAAAAATTCTTCAATCTTCTTCCTCTTCAAACAATTGTCATCCCTTCTCTAAATATGTTGAAAGCACAAATTCGCACTGAATTTCTAAAGAATTCAAACAGACTTTCAGAGAAGAGAAAAAAATTTCAAACTGATCGAAAACAAAACATAAAATTCCAAGAGAAGTTCTTTACATGGACGGCAGTCGTTCGTCGCTGGGTGTCTTGCTCCTCGACTGATGTCTCGCATTCGATTTCGATTTCTGTTTCGAACTCCTCCTGCTCTTGCTCTCTCGGTTCACCGTCGAATTCGATTTACTACGAGTGACAAGATTCGCACCGTTATCGTGTTTTAAGTGTACGGTCTTTTTCGACGAGTTATTGTTGTTGTTGTTGTTGTTGTTGTTGTTCTTCGACTTGGACAAATTGTATTTAGCACTCAGAGGATCTTTCTTGAAGCAGCAACGATGAGTTCGATACTGCCACCTGTCGAATACGAAGGATGTACGAGGAGATAGATAGTGAAAACGGAGATAGTGAGAACGCATGGTGAAAATTTCGATTACCACAATGCACAGGTTGTCACCGTGGAGCTGAACATGAAGAAACAGTTCAATACTGTCAGTACGATCAGTGGTTCCAACATGATAGGGATGATCAGACTCGAATTCGAGAATTTTTGACAATGGCGATGATGATGACGTGTTGAGACGAATCGTGAATTTCGAGACGTCTGTCAATTGATACTGCGCTGACGTTGCAGCTGTGTCTGCTTCGGAAATAGATGACGAACGATTGACTCGAATGCGATCGTGTGGAATTCTTAGATTATTATTTGGGTGTAAAAATTGGGTGGGCATAGAAATTCCATGTTGTATTGAATTTTTAAATAAATACAAATAAATACACATTTAAATTGTTAAAAGAAAAAAAAAATGTAAATATCATTTTTCCAAAAGACTCCAAATTAAGGATGTTTTAATAACTGAAACAGAAGTTTTACTGATCAATTTTATATAGGGTGGGCCAAAAATTCGCTTCCTACTAAAATAAATCCGTAATCTTTCTATTATATATTCTTAAAAATCCTCTTTTTACGAATTTTAAACATTATGAGAAAATCACGTTTGAATTTCAATTGAATTTAAAGCCATTTCCTTAACAAACTACAAAATTAATGAAAAAGAAAGAAACGACAATAATGAAAGTATTAATAACAAAACATAGGAATTTACGAATCGTTCGTTCTTTTCTTTTTTTCTTTTTTTTTTATCAAACATTAATCTTGCCTCTTACGTAACGAAGCCAACAGACTAACAAAAGATGAAGTTGATGATTTTGATTCTCTCTCAAAAGAGAGACGCTCGTTTGAGAGAAAGTTGACCGAGATCTTCCAAATGTCTCGCCCTTGATAATAACGCTAAAATTCACCCCAGAACAGCCAGCCATCTCCCTAACGAACCTCGTCGAACTCGTTCCAAAAGAAGCGGCTCAATTTGTCCCAGATCCTCGTTCACGTTGGACTCTGTATCACGCAGGTAATGATCCCGGAAGAGGGGTGGCAAGAGAGACGAAGGGCCAAGTGAGAAATCTACGCAGGAAGCGTGTACAGATTACGGTAGCTGTCGACAGGGGTAGCAAACGAGTGATCCAACCCCGCGGTGACGCGAGACCTCCTCTCTGTGGGGGTTCTCCAGCCATTTCTTTCGTCGAGGCCAAGCAACAATGGCCGCGGTAACCGCAATATAAAAACGAAAACGCACGTATCCCCGTGGCGACGCATCTGTGCCACCAGATATATATATATATATACATACATATGATGATGATATTACGTTTCACTGGACGTGTCGGTGATTTTTCGTTGCGGTCCCGAGTGAAATAGACGCGGACCACCCGAGGAGATATCGCACCTTTTCCACACTACCTGCCATGCGTCGATTTATTTATCTATTATGCCTATTATGCCGGATAGATTTTCGCTATTTATTTATTTATTTATTTATTCTCGAATGAAACGGAGGATCGATGCCCCGTGTGCGGCGGGCAGACACAAACATGGGAATTTTACTGTTGAAAGAGTTTTCAATCGATACTGGAACAGTCAAATCAGATTTCAGATTCTTCAATAACGTACGAATATTTTCGTCAACGTTAATATTGTTATTCCTGTTATCTGATAATGTGATTATTATTATTATTATTATTCAAATTATCAAATTACAATGATTCAAGTATACAGTATATAAGTATAGAATATTATAGTATAAGAATATTATAATATATAAGTATATAAAATTATAGTATAAGAATATTATAATATATAAGTATATAAAATTATAGTATATAATTATATTATGTAAGATTATAGTATAAGAATATTATAGTATATAAGATTATAATATAAGAATATTATAGTATATAAATATATAAAGTATATATATAATATACTTTATTATATACAAGTATACAATATTATAGTATATAATTAGTATATATGTATAGAATATTTTTGGATAAACATGAAATTAGTAATTTTTAGTACCAGAAATTATTAATAGAATTAACAGTTTGTTATATTAATTTTAATTGCAATGAATCGGAAAAAGAATTGATCAAACTAAATCTTTCATTCAATGCATCTACAAGCGATTTTATAATGATATCTAATTGATACGTGATATACGTGCAATTGCCTTTGCTTTCACGATGCTGCAATTGATTTATTTAAGAAATTAGAAGGTCAGAAGAGAATGTAATGTCTTGGGAAGTGAATTTTGAATATTTAGACAATTACAACACGACACACAACGTATGTAGTTATACATGTTATATATCTATTACTAATTATGTTAACGTGTACGCAACTCTTCACTTAATCAATTCGACATTTAAAATTCAACACGAATAGTCAACATTTACTTTCTCGCAATATCGCGTGAAAATTATTCTTACGAATCTGACATACACTGTTGAATTCTTAACTTGAAATTTTTCTCGTTTCAATTCTCTCTATTATTTTTTAATGATTTTTATTTCTCAACAATACCTGAGAAATATTTTTTAATAATGCCTTAATAATGCCTGAGGTACTTACTGCCATTTTGTCTGCACGATTTAAACAATTTCGTATTTAAAAATCAACACTCAATAGTCAACTTTACTTTACTTTTTTTTTGTAATGTCGCCAAAATTGTCCTTACGAATCTAACATACGCTGCTGGATTCTTGAACAATTGTAATGTTTCTTGTTTCAATTCCCATCAATTATGTATTACTTAATACCTTAGAGACTTATCGCCATTTTTTCTGCACGACCGATCGTGCGAAAATCCTCGATTATAACATCTCCTCGTGAAATATTACCAATGCTTGATGCCGAACGCTGTTTTCCACGACGATAGAAGACTCTTTTCTATCTTCAGAAACGATTTCGCCCTACGAAATATAATGTCTTGGTCACTTGTTCTATTCATCTCGGTGACCGCAGAATCTTTCTTTTGCGACCGATTCCCTCTTGGGGAGACGTATACTTTTCCACCTACCACCATGTGTTCATACGTGTCACGCTATTTCTCGTATAAATCGGGCGCATCGTCTTTTTTTCGTGGCTCGTCTAATTTATCGAGGGCCTTTGTTAGACTAGTAGACCACACAGAGAGAACGACATTTTTATGAACTCGCACGACAATCGCGATTATGAACCCTCCTCCCTGTTATTTTTCACTCTTTTACAGATTTCTGTCTCATTTTTTCTTTCTTTTTTTTTTTTTCTTATAGAAATGTCTTTACCATTTGAAATTTTTATTCGAGATCTTTTTTGGAATCGTAATTCTTTTTTTTTTTTTTTTTTAATGGAAATAGAAATTTATTAGATAGAATAGTTATTGGAAGAAAGTTATTCTTCGAAACTTTCTGAGATAAAAACCTATTTCAATATCAAGTCTTTATTTTCTTAATCAGTATTTTTTGATTCCGTTTGTTTCACGTGAATTACGAAAGTGAGTAATTCGCGAAGGATTAATTGAAATTTCTTTTCAGAAATTTCGTATAAATGGAAATTTATTTATTATTATTTATTTATTTGTTGTTATTTATTTATTTATTTATTACTTGAAGTGATAGTTGGAATAGTATTCTTCGAAACTGCGTTTAAACTCTATTTTCTTCGTGAGTATTTCCGTGAGTATTTTCTCCACGTGAATTGCAACAGTATAACTCGTTACTCGCAATTTTTTAAGATGACAATTTCCTTCTTTTCTTTATAATAAAATTTTAATAGAATATTCTTCCAAGCGTAATAAAATTTTAATAGAAATATACTTCCAGGCATACAGTAAATACTAATTAGGTAATTCCCTAACTCGAAGAGTTTTCTACTTTACTATTGCCTTGCCTTTATAACTTTTAGCTTTCAGAAGCTTGAAATGGCTTTCAGAAAATTAGCCATGAGCCAGGTAGATCCCCGTGAGGATTTTCTTTACGACAGGTGCCGATCGCGCCCCTTTTCTGGGCGTGACCGTTTTAATATTTGGCCATTGATCCATTTTTCATAGCGAATGACTTTTCACCGGAAACCGGCTAAGAGTTGACGTTTAGTATATAATTACCAATAATCCTCTCGGTTGTACCTATTTGCACAGTCCTGTCGCATCCTTGCTTTGTGAACGACGATGATCGTTCAGTGTCAAGTTTCAAAGTTTGGTATAATACTTTGCTGGTGACTCGTAAGTAATTTATGACAGTTAACTATTTATTTAACAGTAAAAGTTAATGAGGGTCCAGCTTTTGATTGGTCCTTGAAACTTGTTCTCTAAAAGATTTCGTGCTGATCGTAAACTTTCAATAAATGTATTATGTACTTATTTATGTACTTATTAAATGTATTATGTACTTATAGTACATGCATATTTATTATATTTGTAATATTATATTGATATTACATATAATATTAATACTATAATTAATTAATATTATACTGATGTTACATATAATATATAATATAATATAAACATATGTTATACATTACGTACTTAACAAGTATATATTCTTCTACAATTTAAAAAAACCTGTGAACTTATTATCAAATTCACTACCTTAAAAACCTGAATCGTTCTCGTCCAATATTTAGATCTACAATGATACATATTTTCTATAAAAATTACAACATCTCGGTCAAGATTTGGTAAAATCCACGAAACCTTCGAATATTGTGTGACGTTTCATTCCCAAGAAATCCTCCCTTAATAATAACTACAAACAATATGGAAAATTTCCACAGAAATTTAAAGTTCGAACGATAATAATAAATTGAATAAAAGTTCCTTGATAAAGACGACAAAAGATTTTGATAGAGAAGTCTTCGACCACCGTGAAGAATCTCTTCTACCAAATTACTCTCCTTCTCTCTCTCTCTCTTTCTTTCACGATCTATCTTGTACAACCATTTTTCCACTCGACGACTCAAAGGAGCCACGGATACCTCCTGGTTTCCCTCGTTTTTTTTTTTTTTTTTTTCTTTTTTCTCCATCGTGACGTCAAATCGATCCCGAAAAATCTCCGAACCGATTCTCACGATCGAAGAAGTCAGGTGCCACTCGTCTGAATGGGCCTTCGGATTCCGCTCGCTCCATTCACTCTTTTTCCAGACGTCGGGAATAGCCACCCGCCCACAAATGCCCCGTTTCTGGTGTCAAGGAATTAAGAGGAAGAAAAAAAAAAACACGAGCACCGGCGGACAATTGGAGACGCTAGAATGAAGACGATATTTCAGCGTAACATGGTGGATATCGTTGGGAGGGAGGGATACGTTCGATGAAAAATGAAACGATCGAAGGTGCCTCCGAGGATTACGGGCGTAACTGAACGAATGAAAGTTGGAGTGTTGGTTCAACGGTACAAAGAGACTTTGGAGCTAAAGCTTCAAGCAACGTGTTCAACTCGCGTAAATCAGTAGACACAAGAGAAACGAATTCGTGAATTTTGGAATTTTCATTTTCTTAACTTTTGCTTTGTATTTTTGTGAATTGGAGGATTGAGAGACTTGAGCGTGTGAACACTGATACTTGATCATTGAGGATTTCGCTGGACAATCAGCACGAGCCATTAGAAATTGGAACCAGTGAATTTTGGAATTTTTTATATTTTTGTTAATCGAATGAATATAAAAATATATAAATTATAAATATCATAAAAAATATATTATAACAACTGTTATAGCATAAATATCTATTTCTAATAAAAATCTATCTCTTCTCATATTATTCTAAATTAACACATTTGGAAGAACACAGAATCTTTCGTATAAAAATTTACCTCCAGCCAAATCTCTACTTAATAAATTCGTCAAATCCTCTCGAGAATTACATTATAATTCTTCTCAATATAATCGAACGATCGCGTAACACAATATGATATCGGTAACGATCAATGCACGTCTCCCAAAAGACTCTTAAACTCACCGTAGTAAAAACCGTGCGAAAATTTCATTCAGTTCGTGTGTGTTGAGATTTCTCGAATGACTGTTCCTTTCACCGTGAACCATCCTCCCCTCCCCTCGACAAGAGAGACTCTTTTCTATCTGAAGCTGAAGAGATTCGTCCCGCGTATAATATCTTGGTCACTTGTCGTCCCATTCATCGGCGACCGCAGACTTTTCTTTACCAACGATCCACGCTGGAAAAGACGTCTGGCCTTTCCACCTACCACCGCGATCATGCGTGTCACGCTATTTTTCGTACATCACGACTGCACGTCCTTCTGGTTGTCCGCCTAATTTATTGGCCAGAACTTTTGTCAGAACCAGTCGACCACACAGAGAGAGAGAGAGAGAGAGAGAGAGAGAGACACTTTTACGACACTCCGCGACAATCACGATTATGAACACCCAACAATGATTTTATTATTTACCCCTCCTACTGTTCTCTGATTGATTTCTTTCTCTCTTTACAATTTAAGGAAAGAGCAATTTTTTATTATGAAAAGAATTTCTTTTTTTTTTCTTTGCTCATCTCCGATTAGTTCTCCTCTACAATTTGAGGAGAGAACAATTTTCTACTCAGAATTTTCTTTTATTTTAAAAACTTTCGCGATTATTATTTACGTCTACTATTTTTTCAATTGTTTCATTTATTTTTGTTTACTATTATTATTATTTACTATTTACCGTTGTTGGTTATCATTTACTAATAATAATGTTATTTATTATTATTTACTTTTACTTTACTTCTACTCTTCATCGATTAATTTTTCATTTACAATTTGACGAAAGAGCAATTTTCTATTTAAGATTTTTTTTTTTATTTGAGTACTCTACTCTTCTCTCACTTATTTTCTTTTACAATTTGAAAGAATAATTTTCTACTTAGAGTTTTCTTTTATTCAAAAATACCTCACTTTCATTTACTCTCCTCTAATTGGTTTTCTTTTACAATTTAAAGAAAAAAGTCTTTTCCTAACGCCCTTCCTATGTTTATTATTTACAAACACGTTTTCGTCGTTAAAATAATTTAATGGCGCTCGCTTCGAGAAAATAATTGGCAAAATGTGGCCATCATTGTTCCAGAGCTGCCATCGAAAAGCTAAAAAGAAAACCTCGGAGAAATCTCAATATTGCCTCGTCGACAGTTAAAGGATCACCACGCAATTCGCAGGTACACCGCCATTATGGCAACTGAATGAAATACCAAGTTCTTTCAATGAAAATCGCGAAAATGGTCCGAAGAGGTACGTCCTTTACGCGATGCGTAAAAGTGCACGAGTCAGCGTGTCTTTCTCGTTGGTTCCTCGTTCATCCACCATCGGAATCATCCGTGGAAAATTGCTTCGTTACGATCGGATGAATCGTCCTCGACGCTTTCCTTTCTCGAACAGGGTCGTGGCTCGTCGGTGAGGACGAAAAATCGTCAATGAGGACGATTGATGGCGCGACGCCTCCCCTGAGACCTCATTGTAGTTTACATGTACATACATATATATATATATATATATATATATACATATAACACATCGTTCCAACCAACATTGCGACCATCTTCGTAATTGCCTCTCACTCCTTTTCTCATCTGTGACTATTGTCAATGACATAATTTGGTATTTGGTATTCTGCCACTTTCTGAAAAGCTTCCCAGAGGGGTAACGAACTTTTGTATTTTGTTGGAAGTGAATGGTGTTGGAATTCTCAGAATTTTACAACGATACAGGGATTTGGGGATTTTTGTGATAACATTGGAACTTTGATCTTGTAATACAAAAGATATACATAGTTTTCAACGTGATTTTACGATCTGTGTTCTTTTATAAATAAAGTATTACAAAACGGAAGGATGTCTGAAAAGATTAGACTCGTTGAAAAAGCGAGCAGGATTAAGACAGAAATTTTGTACGTTCTCAATGACAAGTCTTTAATTTTATTAATTTCTTGCTTGTTATTTAGTATAGAAGGAATTTGATTAGAATCTCTCTGAATGTGATACTTAATACATTAGAATTATCAAATATCAATAAACAAACTGCTCTAATTAACATTATTACTGAATATTACTGTATATTGTATATAAATACACTATCATTTCTCCTTTAAGTAAACTTTATTACACAAACAGCAAAACTTTTTTTTCAATTATTCTTCCACGCACTTTAAATATTCCCTTCAAGATGCAAACATACTAAATTATTTGTTTCGCTTGTTTTTCTCTCTTTTTGCTTCTTTTTTTGATATTTCCTTCTCTTGGATACAATCTTTCTCCCACGTAAAGTCAACCTTTCGAGGGGGTGGTGGTTCTACTTCCGGTTGCTCTGGAGACGGCGTCGGTACTTTAGGCATTCTCAATTCCACTTCCACGTTTTGTCTCGGTTGTTCGGGGAACTCGCTCTTCCTCTTCACTTTTAACATGAACACATTATCGTTTCCCTCGGTGACGCGATCCGTGTGCACTTCCTGGGCGTCGGTGCCATTAACAACAGGGTAAATCGTGAATGTTCTGCACTGATCGTTCGTATTTGGACCACCTCTGCATTGACCGACCTACGTATGCATTCACGTTCACTGTACACATATTTCTTTCCATTCCTCGATTTATTCTACTTGTATTATACTTTATTTATTATACCTTACTTATTATTTTATTACTATGAGTTTCGTCTGACGTTACAATCATTTGTTTCAGATTTTCATCTATTATAACTGTATTTAAAATTATAAAAAAAATATAATTGCAGTATAGTAATCACTGTCTTTTACAACTCTGGCAAATATTTGGTTATCAAAAATATCGAAATTATATATTATACGTTAAAAACGTTTATACCTGCACCTGTACTGCAAAATAGCACAACATCTTACCATGAAAAATGTGTCAAATTAACATAAGGAACGAAGGATCGATAATAATTTATCTCTTTTTTTCTACATTAACTCTCCTCAGAAAAGAATTACCATTAGCATTTTGTTGATTTATTTTTTTACGAGATATTATAACTTAGTCCACTGATGTTCGTACACTTACGAAGATTTTAAAAATACAAAATTGCACAGAACACATTAAAAATACAATGTTCCACGAGACAACCAAAATATAATACCAATAAGCTTTCTTGAAACAAATCTCTGCTTCTTTAATTGTCTTCATGAAAATATGAATTTAAATAAACGTCCAAAGACTAATTACAAGCCAACAATTTGTCTTTCCACTCAAGAATGTGTTGAACTTTATATTTATATTTTATATCATATAGGTATAAATATGATAGTTAATATGAATATAAAGTTAATGTAAATATAAATATAAATTAGTACAAATATTATATTATATATAATGTAATGTAAATATAAATTAATACAAATATTATATTACATATAATATAAATATAATATAAATATAAATTAATACAATTATTATATTATATATAATATAATATAAATATTATATAATATAATATAATTATAATGTAATATAATATAATATAATATAAATATTATATAATATAATATAATTATAATGTAATATAATATAATATAATATAAATATTATATAACATAATATAATTATAATGTAATATAATATAATATAATATAAATTGATACATACATAATATAATAAAATATAAATGTTAATGTTAAATATTTCACATTTTACATTAACTTTTTCGTTTACAACGTCTCTCTGCTTAGTTAACATCAAAACTTTCACACCTCGTAAGAAATGGCTTGGGGCATAGAGTCCTCATCGTCCCTCTTCCTCGGTTCAACGTGAAACAGAATCCGATTGTTGTCAGGTCCCTTCAATATTTTCGGCCCCTGGGTGCGCGTCGGCCGCTGTATCTCCACCACGTCGCAATCGCACGGTGGATCCCAGTCTTTCAACTTTTTCGACTTCCCTTTCTTCCTCTCCATGCGAATGACCAAGTGATTCCCGATCGCGGCAGTGCCGATTTCACGATAATACTTCGTAGGGCAATCGTCTTTCGGTTTCGAGGGTGGACATTCTAGTGGACAGGGTGCGGGTGGCATAGGTGGACAGGCATACATCTCTTTCTCTCTTTCTCTTTGAGCAAATTCAAATAAACGAAATAGTAAACGACCAAAACAATTCGACGATTGATCTCAAATCATAGTCATTTGTACACGCGTGTAACTTGGAATTTAGATGTAATTGTTGTTCAAGAATTGGATGTGATTGTCCTCGAAGGAACCAGGCACATTATGATGCGTACATCGCGGATTTTAAATAAATGGCCGAAAAGAATGATTTACCAAACTTGACGATGAATTGTAAGTCATAGTTATTTGACAGTCGTGGAATTTGGAATTTAGATATAATTGTTCGAGGTGTTTTTAAAGTTGAAAGAGGTTAGCGAGTTGCGATGGATTGAAGCTTGAAACTTGAAGGTCGATTCTTGTCGCGACAAGTTCAAGTCAAGTATTGGAGATATTAACTTAAATTCTTGCCTTGCGAGTTATTTTCAAAGGAACGTGCGTGTGCAGACAATGTAATTTAGCGCAACGAAGTGTTACCAAAAAATAAAACTAAAATACTTCAGTTTTTATTTGATATATTTATACAAATGTGGACACTATTTCATTTGTGGCAAAACAAATTTATAAAGTAGTGGTAATGATAAATAAAAATTGAAAGGTATCCTCTTTAACTAATAACGAAATTAAGAAAGAAAAATTAATTTCTTGATGCAATGGAAATTATAACGAACAAAATTAACAGAATATTTAATTTTCTTTTTAATATTACTTTTTATGATAATTGTCTGTAATTAATATTCTTGAAGTGTGTAATAGTTCTCGTAGCACTCGAGAATGTAAAGCCACCTTATTTCGCTTACATTGCCAAGTGATCTCACTTCGTATCTATGAAATTTATATGAATATATAAATTCATATGAAGAAATTTATATGGTTTTTAAACATTCAAATATGCAGTGGGCGAGACTCGTCATTTCCACTTATGGGTTTAAAATGGAACTTGAAAGTCGACTTTCATCGTGTCAGTTTCAAGTGATTGAGAAAAATCAGGCACATTCATACATATATAATCAACCAACCGATCCGTCATGTCACCGTTCTAATCCAACCACCATGTGATCATCATCAATTCTGTTTCTCCTTCTTCTTCTTCTTCTTCTTCTTCCTGTTTTACTTTCTCCATATACTTATAATAGCAAATATACTACATTTTCCATATACTTATAACAGTAAATTGTAATAAAACTTGTACAAAAAATGATGGTGGCGACGTACAAGTGTGGCTGCCCTCCGACAGAGAAGAAACCCTGTTGCAAACCCTGCCCGTCTGGAAGAAGCACCGTCAGAGTTCTGGAAGAACGGCCAGCGAGTCCCGGAGATTGTCCAAAGAGCGCCTGTTGCAACAAACGTGCCCTGAAACCAACTGTCTCTCGGCCAAAGGTTGAACAGCCTCCGCCATGTTGTCCTACGAGAGCCCTCGACTCGAATGAGTTCGAAAGGCCGCGTAAGCTTCGTTCGGAGATTGCGGAGAAGGGCTTGCCGTACAACGAGATGGAGGTCGCTATAAACGACAACAGGCTGGTGATCAGAAGCCAGAAAGAGGAGGTGAAGCCGAAATACGATCCACCGTGTGATTGTGTCGATGATCCTCAGCCTGTTCCGAGCCACGACGATGAAATCGATCAACCGCCAGTTCCGGGAACAAGAACTGTCACTCTGTATCCGCAAACGGGGATGCAGCCCAACGAGAGAGATGTGAACGAGAAGAACGTTTGCCCGGAAGAGCGAACGACCGTCGAAGCGGAGAATCCGAATGTATTCGTATTGAGGGTGAAGAGGAAGAGCAACAACGGTGACAAGAGGTTCGACATCGACTTGGAGTTCAAGACGCCGAGGCCTTGGTCGACGAAGAAGAGAACGGAGTACGAGACGGAGTGGAGTAAACTTTCGACGGTGAAGGAACCTTCGACGACCGAGACAGACGAGGTGCAGGTGGGAAGAACGAGAAAGAAGAGAAAGAGGAAGAAGTGAACCAATCTCAAACTTCACGCATTCGATCGTTCGATGATTTACAATTAATTGTTAGCAAGAGAAAATAATGAATAAATGAAAAACGAATGGTGTTTAGAGGGAATTTTTTTCGTTCACTTTAAATTAACAACAACAGGCTGTACATATACTGTGTGATTCGACTGTTGTGTTAATGTTTAAGTTGAAGTTGAAGAAACTAGCTCTTAAACAGGTTTGAGGAAGCCTCTCCTCCGACTGTTATTATTTTATTTATATTATAAAATAGAACATCGAAACGATGATACATTCAAGTATGTTTCAATATTACCATGACGGACTTCAGATTTCCTTCTTTTATAATTGATTAATTAAAAGATAGCAGATTGTTTTCGACAAAATTAATATTGATTTCTGTTTAAATAGAAGCATAATTGTATAAATCTATTTATTTTAACTCAATCAAATATCAATCAATTTTACAATGACTCAAATTATAATGATTTATTATTTGATATAACAACTTATCATACATATTAACTGATAATACATACATATTATATTGACACAATTTAATATAATTGAATATATACTCAAAGTATAGTGATTTATATATAGAATTTATTACAGATCGTTCCAACGTTCCTCTTTGAAAACGGCCAATCAAACGTTTCGATATCGATCGTGACGCGATCTATGCGATCCATATATCAACGAAGTCAACGCGCCCTAGGAGCCGTGCGTCCCGTCGAGCAAGAGGACACTCGCCGATGGCCACCTGAAGGCGCAAAACGTGAAGGCATCGACGTCTATTAGGGGGCTAAACGGTTTCTTAAACGAAAAGAGGAATGCATCCTCGAGTGTCAAAGACGCAACAATGACGCGGGCAAACATTGACCACCCGGTGGCAAGTTGCAAGCGACGACGCGATATTTGTGTAACGACACAGAAAATCGTACAATTATTGAACTGCATTTGCAGCAATTGCGGTAACGAGAAAATTTGAGAATCGATGATTTTACCAGGAAGTAAAAAAAAATTATAAACTATTTATAAAAATAATATATTATTTATTAAAATATATATTTACTTAAATAAATAAATATATATATATACATATTACGTATTTATTTTATTACGTGGATTGTGGATTGTTATTGACTAATTCGAAACACGTTAAAGAAGCCAGGAGAATGAAAAAAGTTTGTAAATAATTATTAATTTTGGTACATGAACGAAAAGGATATGAGATATTAGGAAGTGTTCTGTTTATATATATATTATATTTGTTTTTATATATTATATTATAATATATTTGTTTATGTATATATTACGTATATGTTACGTATATCATATGTTATGTATATGTTTATGTATTTGTAATATGTTTTTATATATATATTATAATATATTTTGTCTCGAAAAAATTGAAAGTTAGAAGAATATTTTAAATAGAAGACAAAGGGAACTAAACTGTGCAACAGTTCTTTGAGATAAAAAGGAGTATTCGTTTAGAAAATATTTCAAAGAAATACAGGCTACCTACAGAAATGTTTTGATAATCCGAAAATTTGCAGAAAAGTAAACTTTATTGCAACAATTAGTTTTCGAAGGTCTCAAAGGAATTGCATGTGAAATGTCACTATTACTCGCGAGTCGTTGAAATGGAATCAATGGTCTTCGCACCAGGTGTGCTTCCTGTTCCTTTAGCCTTCTCTCGATAATCGTACCTCGTCCATGGGGTGTCGAGTGAAGAATACAAACTTCTCAATAGTGTTTCGAACGTTGTTGAGTAATAGCACCTAATAGAAATCAAGATCAAGCCGTTTCCACGTTTTATTCTGTCAGATGACATCAAAAAGAAGTATTTTGTCCTTACATTTTGAAACACAATAAAAAAAACCTCGTTATCAAAAATAAAGCATAGATTGAATATTGAATACTTCTCACATCCTTACGAACGGGATAATAATTAAATTATTAATTTCTTACAATTTTTAATTATAGACAATCGTAGCTACCAATTGTGCTACAAATATCAGTCGCGTATAATGATATTTAAAAATAGGAAATGGCACTTAGAGTACCAAAACTAAAAAAAGGAAACCTCAAATTTCAGACACGCGTACGACGAATTCGCTTTGCTTTCGAGGACACGCCTTCCTAAATCTCGACGTTACAATCGAAAGAGCTATCGTAATCCAAGATTAAGGAAACCGAGGATCCCCCTAATCCGGGTCATGTTTAAGCGACCATTCAACCACACAAAATCAAGCTCAGCCGCATCCCTAAGTCAGCCTCCCTAAGCTCAATGTCTTCCAGCCTCAGATCAACCAAAGAAAATACTACAAGATCATGAAATATATAAGTAAAAGTGAACATAGATAGTGAGAAAATCATTGATTAAATAAATCCACATGTCCAAAAATGAAGAAACTCGGTCGTGGGACAGATTTGCGAAGGATAACGAGAGCCGAAGATGAAAGAAACACGGGATGAATTGCATCTTAGCAGAGAAGTCAGGAGGATTCATGTATCAACGAATCGGCAGGAGGGTGTTGACGAGCTCGAATAAACGTCTCAGTAGGGTTGCTGCTACTCGGCACGCTACCGAAAATTCCTCGTGTTCAAATTTAAGGACATGATCCTAAACTAGCTGGGTTTTTCCAGTCACACGAGAATCAGAAGTATCGCGTCGATATGACACGGTACTACGTTTATTGATTGCTTTAAATTCTAATTCACTTTCGTTTTTTAATAGAATTAGGTGCATTAAGGAAGAGTTTGGAAATAAACTGCTGCAGAAGAAGAAGTAGGATTTGAATAAAATTCCGTTAGATTCTATCCGTGTTTTTTTAAATTTTATATCTTCGAATTTGACAAAGTTGCAGTACATTCTGCAAATCGATGTAAAGTGAAATTTATCGTGATAAATCAGACGAATAAAAATTTTTGGACGGTACGATAGACAATGCTTAAACAAGTAAACGGAAACTAGAAATTTTCATCCTTTTTTGCAATATTGTTTTAACGCTATATATTTTCTTCAAATATATACTACATGAATATTAAATAAATATTATAGAATAATGATAAAAAAACAATATTACATTTCTATGTGTCATAATGTCCTCAGAAGACTGTAATTAAAATTCATTGTGGACAATCTTGCAGCAACTTCATTAGATACAAGAAGTATTTATCATTTATGTCGAAACTGACTTTTCTCGTTGACAACTTTAAAAATCCACATCTAACAATACAATCGAAGGAAACAGTGGTCGTTGGAAAGATAATTCTTTTGTTTTCACATAATAGAGCATTCGTTAGAACAGCCATTAAAGGAAAGAATTCTACTAGAAAAGAATGCCTTTAATCCTACAATTCACAGCAGGGATTCAAATTGCGATACTTCAGTTGCTCTTTAACATTCGTACACGATTTCTAAAATATCATATCATTTAGAATTTTCTGCACCACATAATTCACTAAATGATCGACGCTCTTGTTGTCGACGTAATCTAATAATAGCAACAGTGATCTTCTCGAAGGGAGAGCTAATTGAATCCGTCTTTTTTTCATCGCCGCAACATGGCTGACCACCCCTCGCATCTTTCTACCCCGGAATCAACCGAAACGTTTATGCATGCGGCCACAAACTATCGCGTAAGAACGTATTGCAACGAAAGCGGTGGCAAAAAAACGGAAGAAGGACAGACGTAGCCTTGCACGCTGTAACCGACCTTTCCGGACAGCAAAAGGGCGCAACCCTCGTTTTCCCCTGTACCAGCCCTTCTCTACCATTCACCCTATAACGTGAATAGGATTTCTCTGTTCCTCTAGCTAGATTTTCGTGTCGCCATTTTGAATTTAATTGTCGAGAAAATGGTGACTTTTTTTATGCTCCATATTTTTGATATTTTTAATACTTAATACGTTTAATAACCGAACCATTTACAGGCCAAATTTTTATATAAATCATCAACGTTACAAGCATGTTAATGCTCGATTGTGCTCAACCTTACATCAGTATCACAATAGATTATTATATTTATGAATAAATTAATCCATTCGCAGTGTGAGGGTGAAAGAAAGCTATACAAATACAACCTACTGTTGACAAAGAAACAAAATACGCGTAAAATCCATCCAACTCGTTCCTCTTGGCCATTCAACGTCGAATTTGAATTTCACTCGAAACAGAAGATCGCTAATTACTCGACGTCCAGTGGAGAATAAAGAAGAGAATTCGAAAGTTTGGACGTTCGAATG